AAAGAAACAAGGAAAAAATGATCTTAATTCATAGAAAAATTTCAAGTATCAAATATCGAGAAATCAAGATCATGAATTGAATTATTTTTCACTTTAGTAAATGGCAAAGAGAAACATAAGAGATCAAATAAGAGATTTTGATTCATAAAAGATTTCATATTATAAATCTCAAAAAATCAAGATAAAGCTCATTCAAATTCAAATCGTTAAATCATCAAAATTGTTTTCAATAAATTCAAAAAGAAACATAGATAGATTTATTAATCTCTCCTTTTTTTAAAAATCGATAAAGTAGAGAAAAAATTTTTAAGGAGAAAGCTTTCCTCTTTTTAGTTGTTTCAATTCATGTGATTTATTTCATAGAAGCAAGCCTTTTTCATTTATGACAGATAAAAATATGCATACATTTAAAACCGAAAAAGAATTTTCATTACGGTAAAGATTGATAATCCATAAATTACAAAAATCATCATGCATAATTTTGAAAGATAGACTCATTAAGTATGATATCAAATTATGCATCATTACTTATGTATGATATCAAAGTATGAAAGATAGACTCATTAAGTATGTTCAAAGAAATTATGCATGATACCAAAACATAATTTCTTTGAACATAAAGCATTTTCAATCAAAATCGAAAATCATCAAGATACATATTATTTCTTTTTAAAAACATACATAGGATTATCATTAGATTTAAATCTAATATTTTGTTATATTTTCATAAAACATGCAATTGTCATTATCATTTTCAAAATTACTAGTATGATCCTAATTTTTTAACATTTTCATTACATTATTAAACATGTAATTTTTTAAGAAAAAAAAATATATTTTTTTCTAAACTAAATTAAAAAATAACTCATGAAAAACATCATGTAATTTTGAAATAAATTAAGGGGATTTTGGTTACCTTGTCGTTGAAATATGTTAAGGCGTAATTTGCCAACTCGCCTTTGTTGGTTTGTTCTTCATCTTCGGATGAACTTGATTCGTTCAAGCCACTTTGAGTATTTTTTTCTTCTTTGACAACTTCTTCTTCTTAAGTTCATTTTTAATCTTTAATTTTTATTTTAAAATTTTTTGATCTTTAATAATAAGAGTTCAAAGTCATCATCACTTGAGCTTTCACTCGAGTGGTCTTCATTTGTTCTAAGTGTCAAATACTTCATATCCTTCATATTCTTTATCTTCTTGTATTACCATTATTTTTTAATCCCAATTTTTAGAAAGAGATCGTAAAATTTTGTTCACAAGTTTAAGGTTCGAAAAACTTTTACCAAGAGCTTTTAGACTATTGATGACATTCGTAAAACGGGTCTACATATCTCCAATAGTCTCACTTGGTTCCATTCGAAAAAGTTCAAAATCATGCATCAAAAGATTTATCTTAGAATCTTTTACTCTATTAGTATCTTCGTGTGTGATTTCAAGAGTGTGCCAAATATCGAAAGTCATTTCGCATATAGAAATTCGATTGAATTCATTTTTGTCCAAGGCGCAAAATAGAGTATTCATAGCTCTAGCATTTAAAGAAAAAGTTTTCTTCTCCAAATCATTTGATTCATTCATCAGAGTAAAGACTTTTGAAATCTGTTTTCAATGATATTTCATAAGTTTAAATCCA